CGCTGGTTGTATTTTCCCGTCCGACGCTGCCAGAATCTTGATCCACGACTCGCATTTCAATCTCCTCGTCCTCTTCTTCTTCCTCGACGTCTTCTTCCATTTCCTCCATGATGGTATCCGGTGTACCTTCCTCATCTTCTTGGCCGCTGCCACAGGCGAATTCGCCTCGCGAGTCGCCGTCTGAAAGTAATAACCACGGGATCATTTTTGTGGTACGTGGATGAGAGATAACTACGAAGGGAGAAGCGATGATACGGGGTCGGTGTCAGATGACGAGGATTGATTATATACGAGGGACAAAATTGCGGCGACAAAAAGACGTCGCGTTTCTCATTGTATGAGGTGATTCTTATAGATTTAACAGAAATTCATTTCACTTACAGATATTTATACGTACAGATATTTCTTTTTTTCTTTAAAGAAATTTAATTTATAAATAAAGATCAATTTCAAAAATTCACGAGAAATATAATTATGAAGAATATATAATAACAAAATAGTAGTATGTTTTCAAATCGAAGACTTCTATTAATAGATATATATACACACACACACATATATATATATATATATATATATTATATATGTAATATGCAGATTGTTATAATTTGTATTGTGTATAGCAAATGTTAGCTTTTAATGACCGATTAATGACTCGTATGCACCTGTGTCGTTTACTGAACAACGTTTAACCGAATTCCTATTTGTGATTGATTGTGAAACGATTCGGCGCGAGGAAGTATTGCTTCTTGCATATCGCGAAAGAACTGCGTTGCGTAGCCGAGACACACACCGGCATTGAGCCTGCGAGAACGGAACGATTTGAGCGCGAATCAGAGAGGAACAGAGAAAAGCGGGAAACAGAGAAAGAGAGAAACGGCCAATCGTTCGCTCAATGAGAGAGGAGATTGGAGATTCAATCAGCACGCAGATGTCCCGGGGACAGATATTCCCTGGCTCTGGTCCGTGGGGGTTGGGGTGCCCCTGGGATGCTGCGAGTGGGGATAGCCCGCCGAACAAAACCAGAGAGACAGAGAGGAAGAGAGGAAGAGAGAAAAAGAGAGTGACATAGAGACGATAGGCGGAAAGTGACGAGGACGGTACGTCGACAGTACGTTGAAGGCAGTAAGAGAGACAAGAGAAAGACGGAGTAAGCGAGAGAGAAAGCGAGAGGAAGACAGTGGGACTTTATCCGAATTGGCGTGGCTCGTGGCCCATAGCCTACAGCCTAGCGCACAGTGCCTGGGGGTTGGAAGTCCGTAGGGGGCGACGGATCGAGAAGGTTTACGCCGTAATGGGATTTGTATCTCGTTAACGCGCGATCGTTCTTGCCCCGTCGTACAGGCCGCCAAGCGGCTACCTTTTCCCATCTCCCTATCTCTCTCCTCGATTCTCTTTGGCCTTCTTCCGTAGACTATACAGTTCTCGTATAACTCGACTGTCTCCACATCGAGATATACCTGGCCGGCGCCGATTGATTGCGTCTAATTGAATTGCGTAATTTATATTGTTTCTCCTTCTTCTCACTTCGACGCTCATCCGCCCGCTTCATCAAGGATTGCGTTCTGTTTTGTCAGCCGGAGCATTTCGCGGTCTTTGATAACGTCAGGTAGGGTCCTTCTTTTCAAAATCTCTCTCTCTTTCATTTCTAATGTCAGTGTACTCTATCTAGTACGATAGAATTTCAATTAAGAAGGTGAGAATAATATAAATGTGTAACGTAACTTGAAATTGTTAAGTTTTTAAATTGAAAAATATGAGCAGATTATCGAAATACATATTCAAAATGGAAATTGATTAATTAATCAACTGTCGTGGCTTTGAATTGCTTTAAATATAATTCGTGTTTAATTATTTTCGCAGAAGTTAGATTTAATAAAAATACTAATATCTTTTATTGCAAAGTGTTGTCTTAAATTAAAGACAGCACTTCGCTCTGTTCCAAAAAACGAAACGTATATTTGTTAGCGTAAATCTGGGAGAATAATGAAACTGTGTTTTCTCAGGAGAAACATTATCTATGTCATTTCGTCGCCTAATATGACAGCTGCGACAACGTGAAATTAATTGAGTTCATCAGAAAATTAACGACTGCAGATAGCGTTTCTGTCATTGCGTTTTTATGGCGGTAGAATCGCCGGCTAGAGGACCATTCATATCATTTAGATCTTCTTCATTAACCACGATCAGGCGGGTTATGTGCGAGCGAAGCGATCGGGGATACATGCCAAGTCCCTAAGGGATACGTTAAGGGTACACAAGGGGGAGTCGATCGTAGCGTGCTGCGACAAAGCAGTAGACACGGGAATACTTATCTCATTTCGGTTTTCCTCATTAAACACAATGACAGTGTTTAACGACAAGTGGCACGATCGGGAAATACGCAATAAACAACATCCCTAACAGTTCCTGTCTTATTATAGCAATGAATCCGCAATATATATATGTTAGCAGATTTCTAATAATGTATAGTTAACACTTGAACGCCTTAACGTAATTTACGCTATGATATTGTGTATAATAATATGAATAATATGAATGTAACAGTATATGATGTTTATCGGATCTATAATAGAATCGATTAAAATTATATCGAAAAACAGAGAAGTTTAATAAACTTTGCGTATATAATATTACACAGGGATTCTTTCATTCGTGATAATGAACGTAGCAGTTGGGAGAAGCGATATATGGATCAGCGATATCTCTTAGGATTTTTCGAAGCGTACGTAAGATAATTATAAATTTCGTTGAAATCTAGCGGAAGATCTCGGATCTCGAATCATGAACGCGGTGCTCTGAGGGGTGACTTTCGTGGATGCTGCGACAACTAGCAGGGGCAAAGTGAGAAAGAGAGAGATAGAGAGAAGTCATTGTGATGCAGAAGAGCCAATTTTCTGGGCGGCTTGGCGCGATGCGGTGCGATACGGCGCGATGCTGCGCGATTATCATAACAACCGGCGATATTATTCCATTCGGCGGATCCGTGTGGCGGGGGTGGAACGGAGATCTCGGTGGCGGCAGTCGAAACGGATTGGCTTGGGTCTAATGCACTTTTAATAGGAAGCGGCGACCATCCTGGTAAGATGGATGAGCCGACAATCGTGTAATCTCGATTTCGACGGCTGCGATCGATCCATCGCGCACGGTTTCCCGCGTGTCCTTTTCTCACCCTCTTTCTTTTTTTCTTCCTTTTTTTCTAGCCTATGCTCCTTCCTCGGTTAACGATAATAAATACTTTTAGCCGTCGTACCGACGGGAGATGCCACGACAGGCTGGACCGTCCATCGAGATGCTGATTTCGCAAGCACCCGGTGTCCCGTACCGGGATAAAGGAACGACGATGACGGGGTTCAAGGACTGGTTAACGCAGATTAGCGGAGCAATTTGTCACGCTCCGACAGGCCGCCGCCGCCGCCGCCGCCCGGTCGCTACCCCTGCCCACCTCCGTCGTTGCTGCTTCTGCCTCGATTCACCCCTTCTTCGGGACACTTCTTCCATCTCTTATCGGCCTGCAGGACCACTTCTCTCGTCTGCCCGCCAGACTCCATTAAATTCGAAAGTCAACTGTGAAATTGGGATTCTCCGCGGCAAACGGTCACCGAACTCGGTCCGATCCACCAACCATTTTTCTTCACGGTTGCAAAGTTAGCGTAAAGAAAGACAAAAAAATTGGTGAGATCGACTTAATTGTTTACATATATCGGTAATACGATGATCTTTCAAATTCTTAAGACAAAACGGTTGATATATTTAGCATAGAATTATTATAAAATATAAATCTGAACGTAAATTAAGATTCTTCATCGATTATAAATACTGCAATTAATACGGCTTTTTTCAAAAATATGAATTCTTTGCAAAATACTTTAGTTCCAATATTAATTATTTTATATCCCACAAAATTTAGAACAATGTTAATGGAATCTTTGGATTACATATATCTTGTAATAGCATTTACTTTTGTAGAATTATTTACCATTATATGTTACTTTAGCACACAAACTGAACGATTTTGCTAAACTATCTATAAACTTAGCCAGATTTGATAATAATTTTATTGGGCCATCAAAATAATTATATTGGAATCTTAAAGCATATTGAGCAATGGTGAACAAAATTTAGTGTGACAGCTTGAGCAACTTATATAAATTATTTTGATAGTTCGACAAAATTATTTATTTTCAAATCTATATTTATAGCTAAATTTTTAGATTCATCAACAAAACTGTTTTATCCGTGCATTATATATTCTCTCATATGTAAATTAGTTTCCATCGCGTTGCGAAACCTGTAGCTTATGTGTATCGCTTCGCAACCATATTAATATTATCGTAAATGACGTTAATGAGACGCTGGAAGAGTTTCATTCTCACGTTTCGAGTGAAATATCCCTACGTTGTCACTTTTGCTGGAATCTTCGTGTATCGTCGTACACGCAAATAGCCCGACAGCTCCCAAAATTGCACGATCGTCGGAGAAGAAGTCCTCCTTCTAGCGTCTAAAGTTAGAACGAGGAAGAAGCAAGAGAGGACCAATGAAGCATCAAGGAGGCTAAAACGCAGTTGCCGGACGTGAAAAATATCGCTTGAGAGATCGCGTGAAATTTTTAAAGACAACAGTGGAGAAAGTATCAATTTTTTTTCTGCAAATAATCGAATGGATAATACTATATAACGTGAGTTCTTATAAAGATTTGTTTTCGAAGTAATTAATTCACAATTATCCCATTTCTATATTATAAAAGTGCTCATATATAAAACATTTCTATTATGCAATGATTATACAAATGTTTGTTTTATTATAAATAACTTTGTCTATTTGTATATTTTTTAACGATTGTATAAAAGATATAAAAAAATACGCGAATTTATTTCATATGAAAAAGTTATATTATATATATTATCGTTTTGCAATTGTATTAGAATATTGTGATTAATATACATGTCTACTTAGAAATAAAAATCAAAGAGATTAAGTTTACTCCGAAAAGATAATTTGAGTTTACCGGCTGACTCTCTCCCTCTTTCTTTCTGTTTCAACCAATTAAATTCTGACTGAAACGCGCCGCTTAAGACACCACGCATTCGGTTATTCTTAGTTCATTTGCTGAGATAGCACACAGTGTGTTTCGACATAGATACGTGTCAGGGGTCTCCGGCCCTAATCAAGAACGTCAATCGGGAGTTCCAGGAAGTGGAAGATAACAAAAGACGAAAGCTCGTTTATTCACCTTCGTGCACGCTGCCGGCGCGCCGATGTCGACGATGCTGCACACGATTATGGACGACACGGCCACCGGTAAACTTGTTCGGATCGAGGATATTCTCGACGGAGAATGCGAGGCACCGCTTGTTGTTGGTCTGCACCGTGCTGGCAGTCGTGGTAATGCTACCTGTCGACGTGCCGGTAGTAGTGCGCGCCACGCCACCGGAAGTACACACCGTCATGACGGCCGAGCCGGTAGCGCCATGCCCGGATATATACACTGGTGTCCCGTGACCGGCGGGCCCGTGGCCACCACTTTGTACACAGGTAAAAGAATGTACGCGGTTGGCGAACGGATGAACAAATTGCTCGGATGCGACACCCCTCGACGAGGGCGCCGTGAGATCCACCGGGCTGCTTGGATTGCTCTCGTCAGCATCCTCCCGGCACACGTCGACTTCGACGTCTCCGTCCTCGTGGTAGCTGCCGTTTCGATGTCCTTCGGGCTGGCTCTCTTCCTCATCCTCTTCTTCCTGCTCCTCGTCATCTTCTTCGTCCACAACAACGTTCCTCCTGCTCGACGTGTTTCGCTCGTCTTCAGCCTCATCCTCTTCCTCCTCATCCTGCTCTTCCTCCTCTTCGTCGTTGGACCTTTTCTCCCTGATGTGCGAATCTGTCTCATGGTACTGATCTTTCTCGACGGCAGTGACGGATCGTAGGATCGGTGGACTCGACGGCGACTGTTGTTGCCGTACGTTATCGTATCTCGCAAATGATTCGCCGGTGCGTACGAGCAATACGGGTCTCCTTTCCTGCTGCGGCAGCGATAGACCGGCACGCATATCGGCTTCCTCTCGTTGCAGGACGACCGGTCCTAAAGGTGACACGGTCCTGCTTTCCTGCATCCTCCACATTACCCGCTAGTAAAAAGACGATCTTCCTTTATCTAGTTTCGCGTCGTTTCATCTTTGCCTCCGAAAATTATAACAGTCACTCGTGGAACCATTTGTAAATTCCTCTGATCAGCAAACTTCACTTTTAGCAAACCAATACCGATCGGTCACGTCAACGCAAATCCATTGTATTTATATACATTATATTCACACTTTTCTTCCTTGAACGTCACTGATCCTGACACGGTCAATCTCGGCACTAGTTTGTTATAATAGAATCGTCGTACAACAGCGAAACAATTAACGAACGCGAGACATTAATTTGATCGAATTAAATAGCACTTTCCGAAGGTAAATGTGATGACGAGTTGTCGCGATACTTGGTGACAGGGTTGGTCAGGTATGTGTCAGGTAAATGGTAGATTTAGGATATCCTTCGCCGCATGGGTGAAGTGCGCGATTAGCAATGTCTTTGGTAGGTCGACGCGGCGCGCGTACCGTGGCAGTTACTCTCGAGAGTCCCGCGTAGAGCCATGGTGGCAGAATTGGTGGTATATCGGCGTATTATTAGCGCCGAGGAGAGAGAGCCGCTGCGCGAAGAGCGAAGAGAGGTGGCACCGGGGCCCCGCGGAAGGA